TCCCCCATGACAGATATCTTTACAATGTCTGCCCTTTCCCTTTGGACCTATAACTGGATGCACGTTAATCCATTACAGAATTTAATGGAACTTCTTGGTGGGAGCACTCAAATGATTTGCATTCCAGTAATTTTAGGACGGCCTGTCTTGCAGTTTTATTGTTAAACCTTTCAACACACTGATCATCACAGGTTTCACCTGTGAATTGTAAATTTTACTGTGTGTAGAAAAGCTGACACCTGTGCAGGATGCAAACAAAGCCAAAAATAAAGAAATAGGAGAAACTGAACATTTCAGCAAGTGAAAAAAGTTGTCCTTGGAGGCAAATTTATTTGCAATAGACAATCACTCTTTTCTGCCCCTCTCCAAATATACTGCCTATTTCTATATTTCATTAAAAATGCTAAAACATGAAACCTCAGATGCAAAACATCTTGATTCAGGATGGCACAATGTTTCCTGGAGTTATAGTCTGCTTACTTTGTGATCCAATTCTCCTCTATAGGCAAGATCTTCTGGCTAAGCTACATATTTTTGGAATATGGAAGATATGATGAAGTTTGCAATGCAGACAGAGAACACAGAATATAAGGTGTTGGATCTACACCTGCCATTAGGAATCAGTATTCTCAGTATTCCACCTTCTGAGAATATGTCAAATAACAACATTTATAAATTATTTTGGCAACATTTTACCATATTTCTTTTTCCTTTTATAATCATCAAATCACGCCAACAAATAAAAAAAAAATCTTTTTTCTTGATACCGAGAGTTTACAATATTGAATTCTTCCCTAGAATACAATAAATGTATACAATGATGTCAAATGTTCCTTACTATAAAGCCAGCTATTTGCTATGTCACACACAAAGACTGATTGCAGCTGAAATGAACCCAGTGTTTCTCTTGAACACTTCAACTGGCATCAAAACACTTCTGAGACCTTTGTTCCCTCTCAGCATTACATCACATCAATATCTAAGCAGTGCAGCATCAGGAATGGCAGCAGAGAGAGGACCTGCTCCATCTCCTGCTGCAGCTGAGCCAAAGCAGCCCCCTTGGCCACTAAGCCCAGAGGTGAAGGCCAGGGACATAATAATTAATTTACCCAAGGTTAGCCTTTTTACAGGCAGGCACTAGAGCTTGATTTCTCTTAGATGCTCCACTGAAAAGGCCAAAGGTATGTATGTGCCCACCTGAGACCTGTGCTGGCGTGTATTTAGATGCCTCTCAGTTTTCAAAGTAAGTTTTGAACTTACTGAAGGAGACTTGGTGCAGAGAGGGAGGCTAGATTAATTCAGTATGGCTTGAAATAGGGCACATGGTCAACATTTTCTCCCTTTCACTTTTTTTTTTTTTTCCCCATCTTATTCCATTGCTCAAAGAAAAGAGATGATACAAAAGAATGAGAGAAATGTTTTTCCTTGCAGTCCTTCACTTTTTGTATCTTCTGTGAAGTCTGGAAAAACAAAATTTTTTTATAAAGTGATGTGAAAACTCAAAATAGTTATTTAAAAATGAAGTGCAAATTGGGGCTTTCTAGAGTGAAATGGTGTCAATATCTTTTGCTAAATATTCTTCTGAATAATAAACCATTTTATTATTAAAAAAAAAAAAAAAAAAAAAAGTAAACTCTCACTTCTACTTTTCTCAACCTAATTTTGGTTCCTGGAGTTCTAATTTTGATTATTCTGTGGGATGCATGAATATCAAGTCTCGCCACCGGATCTTGCAGTTTAGTTAAATCTCTTCAATGTCTGACACAATCAGTTCCACAGGAACAGATTTGTGACCTTTGTATCTAACTTTTCCATAACTTGTCAAGGATGAAACACTGTCTATGTTAATGAATGGAGAAGGAGTGGAAGCAATGTTTAAGATCCAGATGTTCAGATTTCTTGGTGTCTCTTACAACTACATTTTCCTACACTGCAAAGTCCAGATTTGTCACAATACTGCAGCTGTCTGCAAGCCTGTAAATTTTTCTGTATGTGTATGATGTGAGGACAAAGATAGTTATGTTACTGCTGGGTCACCCTAAAAAGCTGAGAGTGGGTTCTTCACCCAGGAGTTTCTGAACCCCAGTTGTCGTCACTTCCTTGGTGTGTAGCCCTGAGCAAGGCACTGAGCCACGGGGCCCTTGCATTCCCAGCTACAACAATAATTCCTACTGCAAGCCTGTGCAGTGACTCAGCAGAAATGCAACCAAGGAGCCATAGTGAAGGTTTGTATTTTGGCCTTAAGTTTACAGCTATATATCAAACTATTTAACCATGGTTAAGCAGACAAAAGTCCCATCAAAAACAATATGAGTTTTGTCTATATTATTTTGATTGATACTTTGTATTATTTTTAGAGCAGCCTGTCCAGCATTGTGCATAGAAAAAAAAAATGATCTGTACTGATAGTAGTTTATATCTTGAATTATACATCTGTAGTCCCAAAGGAAAACAAACAGCAAAGAATTTGTCTCTCTCTGATCAGACAATGTAATGTGGGACCTGAAAGCACAGGCTATTACTTGTTCCTAGAGGAGTTACAACTAGATGACATTTACAAGCATTCAGTAATGAATTATGTGCTCTTGAAATTGAAGAGGAGTTTTCTAATGGGAGCAATATAATATTCCATCCAGAAGAACAGATTCCTTTAAAAGTGTTTATGTTGTGGAATCCTACAGCATTATGGTAACAGCAAGAAGATTTATTAGACAAAGCACAGAGGAAAAATATTCCATAGATCAGAAGAGAAAACGTTATACGATATTCTCAGTGCTTGTGAGATATTATGACACAAAATACAATATATTCTTGACTGGTTTCAGGTGGTAGATGTTTAGACATTAATGGCAGCTGCCTCATGACAACAAGATTTTACGAAACAGTCTGTGTTTTTTTTTGGTTTTGTTTTTTTTTTTTTAAAAAGATATATCTGAAATGCCAGCATGCTGGCATCAAGCAAGGGAAGAAATTGAAGAAGTTAAAATGACGTTCTGGAGATTGACTCAAAACCAGATGCTGGGTCTGAAAGTCACAAGATTGCAAATGTACCCAACAGGCAAAGTTTGACAAAAACAATACTAGGGCATGCTTCTGATTCCGGATATAAATGCTATTTATTGCTTCAGACCTTGTTATGTAAGCTGTCCACACGACAGCATAGACTTCCTTTAAAAAGACAAAGCACAAAACCTTTAAAAACATGTGATCCTATTAAATCACTGTTTAGTCTATCTTGTGATTCAAAATCTGGCAATCCAATGTCACCTTACTAACAGAATGCATTTAAGGGCATAAATAAGTGATTAACCATTGCATCTGATTTATTTAATTTTTCTAATAGGACCTAACCTAGCCTAATCTAACACTGGGGGAAAGAAGGATGTTATGGCACCATGGCAAGCAGGGCATATTCCATACTGACTGACCACAGCTATTGTGAAACCCAAAGGCTTCTCAGCATTTCCTGCAGGATTTATCTGCAGACCTCATCTTGATGGAATCACAGAGAGGTATCCAGCAGTAGTTGTCTTAAAGGGACTTGAATCTCCTTTTATTTGTATTAGTATAATGATAGCTCTGTTGCCATTACTCACCCATATGAGTAAAACTGGTGGGGGACAGTAAGAGATCCTTAAAAATGCATGGCCATTTTTTCAAAATGTGCAGCCTGACATGGTCAGCACCGATTCACTGTAGTTGACCCCATTTTCTCTTTGTGGAGCAAGGCAGATTTTTGCCATGCAGATTTTTTATTTGTTTGTTTGTTTTGAAACAAAGTGACAATGAGGTCTTAGTCTACGTATGAGCACAGGCCTTCTTCAGTCTTACCCAGTTGTCAGTGTTTACAGTGTCTTAGGGCCATAAATTGGAAAAGATGCATTCCCTTGCTTCCAGACAAGAAATTGGCCTGCCACTGGAAACCTTATGGCTACAAATGAAGCCCTATGCCTATTGATTCTTTCTGCAGACCTCTTTCTTTGGTATTGCACAATATCTTTAACTGGACATTCCCAAACCTCCAGCACATGTGTTTATGAAGGAGAAGAGATAGCTAAAGCCCTAGTAACTTCCCTGCACAGCTGTGACTGGAGGGAATGATGGGCTGAGAGCCCAACCAATGAAGCAAAGTTTTATTTTTGTCTCTGCAGCTGACCTGGATGTCCAGTCCTGGGTATGTTGCAAGGGTGTGAAAGGGGTAGAATTTCTGAATCCTGATCTGTTTTATTATGGATAGTGAAAGTTCTTCCTTAATCCTCAGCCTTGTTTTTGAAATTCACTCTTTTTGGAGAACTGGACATCTCTGTACCAGGACGATGCCATGCATATCAAGGTCTTTCCGCAGATGACTGAGTACTTTGGGAATTCCCTTCCCTGGTCCAAGCAAGATGCTGAGAGATTCATTGGCATTGCGCAGTGGAGTTCCCCAGCATCATTCTCAAGAACTAGATCACTATATATGGGGCTTGGAGAGAGGGAAGGCTTTGTCCTTGGAAAAAAGGAGTGTGCAGGATGCCAAGTCTGACCTGTGATTACAGGCAGAAGCATTTCATATGAATAAGTGACCTATCTTTGCAGAGAGAATTGGTTGAATGAGCTTGCTCAGAAAGAGAGGAAAGAGGGAAAATACTATTAAAGGCCAAATTTACAAAGAGCTTAAACATACAGTGTTACTGTACACTGCTTTTGCTATAAACTTCTAAATCTGAGCATTCATTGTAAAATTGCTCTCCTGGTTACATTTTCTTCCTAGTAGAATTGTTCTCTTCAGTATCATATTGATAGCCTTGTGTCTTTCTTTGCAATGCCAAAACTGCCTCTGATTTATCTGCTCATGATAGGTCCATTCCAGTTTTGTCATGAAGAGACAACAGTTGTACTAATTGTTCTTTGTAATAGCCACAGTAGTTGTCATTGCACCTGCCATTCACTAAAATTTAATGTTACTGAGAAATTCAGTTGCATGTAGAAAGTTGCTCCACATGAGAGAGTAAGCTCTGACAAATATATATATATATAATAAATAATATATATAATAAATATATAATACTTTATATACTATAGACATAAATATAGGCCTGAAAAGGCAAATGTGGACATTTTCTTTTGTCATATCTGCAAAAGTTAGACATAAAGAAAAAGAAATCTTTCAAGCTTGTGAATTAAAAGGTATGTTTTAAGCCTGACTTCAATTGCTAAAGTATCTTCTAGTATGTCTTTTATCATCCTACTGTTTCATATTCTACACATACAAGCAACCTTTCTCATTCAGGATGTGACCAGCAAATGCATTGGCGTTGCTGGTAATGGCTCTGAAATGTAAGTACAGTTGGAGGACTTAATAAAAAACCCCGAGGTGTTAGATTGAAATGTTCAGGTTCAAACCCCATAACTTTCTTTCATTGTTCTTGTTGCTGAGTGTATCTTCTTGTATGGCTACAAGCATATGCGACTAAGACTTTGTTCTCAGACAGAATCTCTTTGTGAATGATACTCAGTTCTTATAAACCTTTTGATTTGGAGTGGTGAAAAATGACCTGTGGTATAGCTGTGCCCATGTAAGCTTCTCCAGGCTGTCTACAGCTCCTGGACTTGGTCTGCAGGTTCAGGCCACTACTGACCTCAAATGACTTTGAACCAGCCTGTTGACAACAAAAAAGTTAGAGTTCCACTGCAAGTCCTCTGAGTAGCAAATACTCCTGCTCTGGCTTCAGGACAAGCTGTGTCTTGTGTCTCTGGAGTACATGATGTATTGGTTTGCACACATAGGTGTCAGAGCCCTCTCCTGAAAGAAAATAGCTCCTCTATAGGACCTCACAGACATGTAGGGCTCTGTGGTAACCTTCTGGTGACCTTTTGTTTCTAAACAAGCGGTTTTGTGCATGAATTCATTGACTTTTTTTAGAGAAGCATATACAAGTCTGATGATTTGCAATTTCTTTTATTAGAATTGTACTAACTATGGCAGAATGACCAGAACTAAAAGAGATACAGTTCCATTCCCCAGTCACATGGTCTCATGGTCCCATTAAGTGAAAGCTAGGAGACAAGAGGGAAGCAACTCCAAGTAAGTAATTTATAATATGGCTCATTTAAAATGTAATGTTTTAGACAGCCTGGTACAACTCACCTGTATGTTTTTAAGGTTAAAAAATAAAAAAGATGAAAGGAAGTGACACTGCTTTGAAGTGTGATTATCACTAAGGAGATTAAAGTTGAAATCTATTGTAAAAAACTTAAATGTACTCATGCACATCATGAAGGAGTGTGATTTCTTTGCCAGTGAACTCTTTTGGATTAGCACGTACGGACACAACGCAGCCAGATATTTTTGTAATGACTAATGAATATTGCTTCCTGATCAGTCCTAATGATTGGGAACTACCATGCCTTCCTGTGCATAAACGGTGATCAAAACTGAAGCTAGAAGTTTTGTGATACATATTGTTGACAGTTTGCTGGGGGACCCACCAACTGTAATTGCATTCCAGTTCTGTCTGCTCCTTCTTCCCTATCGTGATGCTGCCAAAGCCAGAAATAAGCTACAGGGCTGCACAACAAGCAGTAGTTTGCTTCCCCTTGCAGCCCTCTGTGGTACTCCCAAGTTCAATCACCTGATGTAGTTCTGTCACTTGACCCTCAGATAAACAAGTGAGCTCTTTTTCCCCTCAGATAAACATTACATGTCATTTATCAATTCAATTTTGTGAGGGAAAACTTAAAAGAATGGAAAAGTACCAGAGGCTAATTCAATCTTGCAAAGTTTTCAGAATTAATCATCTGAGTCAAGGCTAGCTAACTTCTGTTTTACTTATAAAATGCAGAATATCTCATATCACATCTTTATTTATGATGCAAATGATGCAGCTGAGAATCAAAGAAAACAGAAAAGTTGTGCAGTATGGAAAAAATGTATGATAAGAATATCCCAAAACATATGCAATAAATAAAAATATTGCCAGATAAATATTGCTGAAGTGCAGCTATATAAAGAACTTGCTAGTCCAAAAGATAATTACATTGGATATAGGTATTATATCATTATTCTTTTTGTTTGATCTGGAACTCCATGTCCACTAAAAACGTATTTTGTGCTATTACACTCAGGAGGTACAACGATCCTCCTGAGCTCTGCGGCTTCCAGGCCAAACTTGTTTCAAGCTCAGAGAGGTGCCCATGTAAATCTTGGCCTTTCACAGAGCTTCTTGCAAATGTGGAGTCTGAGGCCCCAGCACTACCTGCTTCCAAAAATCAGCCACTGCTCCATAAGGTTCCCTGTTGTTCCACTGTTGGGTAACTTAAGGAAGCATTCTGTCTGAAAGCGCTGTCTAGCTCAGCTGCCACCCATAATGGGAGATGCAACGCCTCATGGTGGAGTCTTCCCATCAGGTTGGAGACCGATTCGTCCTCCCAGATGAGTGATGGAGGATGAAGTCCCTATGAAACGAGAGACCCATGGAGCTGAAAACTGCCTCCTCCCCACAAAAGCAACCCCTGAGCTGAAGAGGCAGCATCATATCCCAGATGACTGTACCCTGCACATGTATAGAACAAAAGTGTGCCGGGTATCTTTTATTTAGAAGAATGGCACTGTCCTTTAGCTCCTTTAACAGCCCCCCTCTAATCTGCCTGCCTGAATAACAACTGAAAGTAAAAGCAAAATTTAAGAGAATGTGGTAAGTAATAAATAATGTTTGCAGAAATTCACATCTTACATCATTAGCTGATTTCCTCATAGTCTCCGGGGGAGTATTCTTTATCCAGGTTGAATGGACTAGTACACATTGTTTTGGAGCTGACGTTTTGCTTGAAAAATGTTCTTTTATAAATGCTTTTGAAATGGGGAAACATGGTTTGTCCTAAGATAATACATTATTAGTTAGATTTCATTGGAAGACACTCCTCTGTAAACCTTGCATTTGTTTTCTCTCCAGATAAAAGGAAAGTTCTTACAACTGAAACCTTAGTCCTTGGAGGAGCACTGATGGCAGTTTTAATCATGGCTGGAATCTTTGGAAAACTTTTCTTTCACCTAAAAAGACAATCTCCTTTTCTGCCAGCACAGCAGACAATAACATATTTTCACAATTTGGAAATAGCTTAATGATCGGCTGATTTCTCTGTAATGTCTTCCAGAATTCAGTCTAAATTATCATGAGAGAGAATCACAAGAAGATCTAATTAAGCCTTGTTTTGCAGAAACTTATGGTTTTTATTTTCACATAGTTGAAGGTGTCAGAGAACTGTTTCAATATTTTGTTTACTTTCTGACCTGTGTAGTTTACTAAGAATAGCTGAAATATAAACAGTGTAATTTATACTACACACTATAAACAGTGTAATTTAATAATAATCATACAGTGATTTTTGTTTAACCTATGAAAAAGTACTCCAAACACAACCATCATCTGAAAGTTTTCACTTTTGTCTTGAACAAAAAAAAAAGATTTCCATGCAACAGCAGAGGATTTTTCCACTCTGAAAAAGCACTGATCCTTTCTATCTTGCTTGTTCATAAGTCTACAGCCAACAAAAGGAGTCCAGTCTGATGTGATTAAAACTAAACCGACTTGAAGGTATTTATAGCCCAGTACCTGGGCCAGAGTACCAAACATTCCCACCAAACACACGCGGTACCCACCCACCACAGCTTCCCTGGCTGTAACCAGGCGGGTAATTATGCTGAAATCGAGACATCTGACCGGATGAGAGTTTAGACTATCCTACCAAAAAAAACCCTTCCCATATTGAAGATGGAATAATGCAAAACAACTCCAAACCCCCAAATTCACAAGAGCTTCTCTAGCTCATTCTCTTATAATCCATATGCCGGAAGATCTAAAAGTGTAACTTTTACTGTTGTGAAATCTTTTCAAAAGAGAACCTGAATTCCTATGACACTTCAAGTTTATAGGTTTTTTAATGATAGAAGGGCTGCCTTGTTAAAGAGAAGAGGCTTTGCTTGGAAATGCATAATCACAAAGGTATTAAAGTAAATATCAAATCTCTTGATGGGCCTAAGCTGAAAATACAAACCCAGGAGGTAGAAAAAACTTCTTTTGAGGTCTCTGTTGTTTGGAAACATTCTGCTCTCAAAGCTGTGCAGTGCAAATTACATAGAGGCTTTGTGGGCAGATCTCAGCTGTTTATTTTTACACACTGCTAAATATGAATGTTCAAGCATCAGTAGATCTACTTGCAAATGCATTTTGGAAACAATCTTTTTTTTTCTTTCCCTTTTTTTTTCTTTTCTTTTTTTTTCCTGTAACTCCATTTAGAAAGAACTTCCAGAGACAAATAGTTGTCAGTGAAAAACAACTGTGATTTGTTAGGATTTGAAACTAGAAAGTGCTTAAATTATTCACCTTGATTAGAAAGTGTGTCAGCAAACAGATCACTCTTTTTATAACCTCGGGAACAAATCTGGTTTATTTCATGTACCGTTGGCAGCTTACAGGAGACTGTCTGCACACCTCAGCAACTGCCTTGGCATTTGGTACAGGCTTTGCTTCAGCCTAGGGGAGAGAACTGAATTACGCTGCTGCAAGAATCGGCTTACACTTCCCTCTTCCGCTGACTTCAGCAACAGTGTCATGTACAGACCAATACCGAACCAGATATACAGATATTCATTTTCCATGCATGAGTAACCAGAATGAAGTTTCATTCATTTTGGACTTAAGCCAGAAGAAAATAGCCTCTACAGTTGTTCACCCACTGAATCCTCAAAGACCTTCTGGCTTGTAGGGCAGTGGTACTAAGCCAAATTGTGTGATTCTAACTAACTTGCCCTATTACCTCAAATTGCAGCTCATGAGAACAACGATGGTCATCAAGTATGGCAGAAAGAGATAGCTCAAGGACAGTGAGAAGGCCTATGCACTAAAGCATGAGAGAAGTAGGAGACTCTTCCTTGAATGACCAGGTGAGATTCAGCTGAGTCATGAGAGAAGTCTAAGCCACAGAAGTTCATTCTCCTCACTCAAAAGAAACAATTAAAATTAAAAAAAAGTCCCACTTCTGTCATAGAAGCCTGGTTCCAGCATGCAGTCCATCAGAGACAAAAGCTCCACAACACCCTCTGTAATTAATACTGTTGCTGCAGGTTGGTCTGTCAGCCGCAGACTATACACTCCACCGTGGTGAGAAGCAGCAGCAAAGCAAACTTCACCTGTTCCACTGAAGACATTACCAATAAGCAGCAGTTGTGAAAAACAGTGGCTGCCTACAAGGATTCTGCCCAGCAATTTGTTTAATTGCCTGCTGAGAAGATGAAATTATTTTGTTTGGCTTCTGTGAGTCACAGAGCCAATCCCTACCATCTTCTGGAGCTCACATGGCTAGATGCCTATGTCCTGATCCTGTAATCAAATCTATAAAGGAAAAAAAAAATGGCCTGTCCTCAGGATCAAGGAAGATCAAGGCTGTAGTATAAGGGTGAGGCAAACCCAAGAGTGCTTATTAAAGGAAGCGCTGGCAATGATGCCTCCTATTGAGGTCATCTTAGGTTTTCTCTTACGTGCCTAACACTGAAGTGATGACTTACATCTGTCTTCCATGTTCTCTTGTTTTCAGCATAGCAAAAAGGAATTTATTTATTTATTTTTTTTTAGATTCTGAATGTCCAAACCTGTAACAGCCGCTTCGTTTATTTACTCCCCACTAAAGCTGTGTTAAAACCCAAGAGATTTCAACAATCTTCCACGTTGGCTGGCTCTTAAGCATAAGTCTATGTGCATGACGTGGGAATATACAGCCTGGAAGCTGGGAGAAGGCAAACAAGGTGTTTAACTGGAAGCTTGAGGCAAAAGTAAAGCTACTTCTTGTGAGTTACCAAACTAATATATCTGTATTTTCTGTGTATGCTTTCATTAGTATTATTTTATTATTTTTTTGAGGGGGGGGGGGGGGGAAATGTGTATGTTGTGAATAAAAATGGCTTTTCTCCTAGTACCAGAAGAAGACACACTATATGCACTCAAAAAAACCTTTTATTTTTAATTAATAAACAGCACTCCGACCATCAGACCCCTGAAGCCCTAACCCCCAGGCCACCTCCCACAGCCCCCCCAGCAGCCAGCCTCCCTCCACCCTCCGAAGGACGGATCCTTCCCAGGCCGGCCCGGCACCCTGCGCCTGTGGGAGGCGGCGCGGGTTTCTAGGAAAATACAGCAAAACAAAACAAAACAGAACAGAACAAAACAAAACATTTCGCCCAAGGGCGCTCCGACAGCCCTCAGGCTGCGAGGCGTCACCGGGGCGGCGCCGCCAAGGCCCCTCCCGCCCTTAGCAACGCCCCCGCCGCGCGAGAGGAGCCGGGGCATGGTGGAGGAGGAGGGGGGAGGAGGGGGGGGCGGGAGCGCGCGCGCGCGACATCCGGGCATTCCGCCCCTCGGGGCCGCGCCCGCCCGCCCGCCTCCCCGCCCCGCGGCCGCGCGCGCGCGTGTCCGTTGGGGGGCGCGGCCGGCAGCGGGGCCGCGCGGGGGAGCCCGGCTGGGCCAGGGCAGGGCAGGGCAGGGCGGCGAGAGGAAGGCCGGCGGGGGACGGGGGCGCGCAGCGAGGGCGCGGGAGGCGCCGCTCCCTCCCTCCCTCCCTCCCTGCCGCCCGCCCGGCGAGCGACGGGCACGGGTGAGCCGCGGCAGCCGGGGGGGGACGAGCCCGGCCCCGCTGAGGGCCTGCGGCCGCCGGGAGCGAGCCCCGGGGTGGGAGCGCTGGGGGGGGGGGCGCGGGCCTCGGGCGGGCAGCGGCAGCCCGAGGGGGCTGGGAGCCGCTCCTCAGCCTCGCGTCGCTGCCGGCCGTGCTGGGGGAGCTGCCCCGCTCTGCGCCGGGCCTGCGCGGCCGCGGCGGCGCCGTGCTCCGCTCGCCCTGCCGCTGGAGGAAGGGCGCCTGCCTCCCCGTCCTTTGTAGCGGCCCGCGGGGGGTCGGGGCTGCCCTGCAGCCTGGCGTGGGGTCTGGGGGGCGAGCTTCGCGCAGCCCCTGGCGATGCGGGGGGAGCAGGGTGTCGGGTAACCGCGGCTGCGGGCTGCCTCTCTCCTGGAAGTGCAGAAATGTTACTGAAACAGCCGCGGTTGGTAAGCAGGTGAAGGTGTAAATCTGAAAAATGCGCTGCCAACCTTAGTCTGTCTTCTAAATGCCTATGTGTATGCCTTTCCGCACTGGTCCAGCTTCACTGAGACAAGAAATGGGATTCAGAGGGTGAATTGGGGTTGTATTGCTCGCTGAGGCTTCATGGAGTGTCCATCTCATTCTTTTCTGGCATTGGAAGGGGTTAGAAAATAAGCAAATCCCATCAGAATGGGCAAAGACTATGCAGCAGCAGTGTCTTTGCTTCGTGGATGTTCTTTCTGTTTGGTACTAAATTATTCTCTTACTCAATTAATTTCTTACGTTTGGGTTGTATTGCTCATGCCTCCTACTTTGATGTTAGACATTTAATGGGAAAAAATAGGTGCTGAGTCTAACTAGCAGTACCTGGTTGGAAACTTTCTGGGCAAGATTTCTGCGTGTTCGTAAGCAATCCAGTTTGTGACCTGTGTCCCAAAGGGCTTTTCCCAGCACCTTTGTTAAGCACATGAATGTTTGTCTTTGAGTCAACTCCTGCAGCTGCTGTGGATTTCAGATTGGTAACAAACATATGCTTTTGTATTCAATCCAGTTGAACTAAACAATAATAGTAATAATAATTTTAAAAAAGGGCATAATTTCTTTCATACTGATAGACCTGATTCTTTGGCGAGCTCCGTCTCAAATGAAGCAAATGCTGTTTGTCTCTGGCGATGAGATCCGGTGGTATAGAGATGAGAGCCAGAGAATCATGTGTCTGGTGATCATTGTACTGGTGACAATTCTCTTTCAATTTCCTTATCTGTATAATGAGAGTAAACATAACTTGAATTTTTTGTAGGTGAGATGGTTAGTTTAAGTATTCCCGAAAAGACCACAAATAGTTACGGGAGAGTTTAAAATTAAATGAGAGTTACAGAGGAATCCTACGTAAGCTTTAAGTGTCTGTGCACTATCTAGACTCAATATTGAATGAAGGATAAAGACTAAAAAATCTTGTAATATAAACTGCTCTAAAACGGGCCAAGGCAATTAAAATGGAAGGGGAGCTCTAGATCTTGACTTTGCAAGATACTGTTTTTAATAGTTTTTGAGGTGACATTTGGTCTGCCTTTTTTTTTCTAATTTCATTATTATCTGTTAATGCCACTTGAATCTAAAATACTCTGCTGCGAACCTTTACAATCTGTAGAATATTGAATTGAGTAGACCACACGTCAAACGTTGATCTGAACTCTTAGTGTGAAATCACAATGAAACCCCGATGGGTGCAAATTTAAGCCACGAGAACAAGAGGTACAGTGAGGTAAAACTCTAACTGGCGTGTTTCCAGCTCTTTGTATAAAACTGAAGTTATCGGTTCAGGCTGGTTGTTGGGTAGCGATACCTGGTTCAGGCATACTTACATAGGTGCCGGAAGGTGAGTGATGTGATGCTTGTTTTTTTTGAAGTTTACACTTTGTGTTTGTATATTTAGAAGTATCTCTAGTAGAAATGGTAGTTTTCCAAAAATCCTGTGGGGTAGAGAAGTGTGTTGGAGTGACAGATTCTTTGCAAATAGGATCTTTCTAGGAGTGTGCAGTATTTTCATAGCTGTAATGCTCTTACAAAAACTTGTTTTAGCTGAGTCACTATTGTCATCGGCCATGGAATGTATTTGGATGGGAATGTTCAACTGGAGTCTGTGGAAAAAGTAATAGCTTCGTGCCCGCTGACATTTGGAGAAGGCAGTCTAAATTATATTAGAGATCAGAGATTGGTGACTCACTGTACGTCCACAAACCCTGCACAAACTTGCAGTGCAGAGCTGTGTTTTCCAGTTCTTCATTCAAGTTAAAAACATTGAAAGAGCTGGTGTAGTGCGTTACTTACGAGGTACGTTCCTGACTTCTTGTCATCAACTATTTGAGATAGGTGAGTTTTTGTTCTGTTTAGAAAATAGTGTTGGGTTGTTTTGTTGTTGTTTTGTTTCTTTATGTTTTTGAAATTGGGTATTTTGTATTCTTTACATTGCTTTTAAAAGCAAGTGGTTTAGAAGAGGGAAAAGTCAAATAGGCATGATAAAAGTCTTTCACTTTATAACAAAATTAAGTAACTGGAAATGGAATAGTTTAAAGTTCCTAATACCTTCTCTGATCTTTTTCTCCGATTCTATTTGTTCTACTTTAAAAATTTCAAACTCTTTTAGGACAGCCCCCATCATTGTACTTTGGTATTATCTGATGCAGTGGAGGTGCCTGTTAAAACTTTTTTGTACTAAATACTCTTGCTGTACACCAGTCAGGCTCTGTGCTACTAACAAGAATATGTTTTTAAGAGGAAAAAAACCACCCTTATACATGCAGAGTACATTACATCTGCATTTCAGTTTGTCTTCTTGGAGAGCAGTTGTATTCACGTTCCATTTACCTTAAACTTGCTTTCTTACTTTGCTATGGGAACTGGTTCAACTTGTGTAGTAAGACTTGAAGTAGTATATTAACAAAGATTTTTGGCCAGATCTCTGTAAACATACAGAGGTCAGGAATTCTGCGGCAACATGTATGAATTAAAATATTATTTAAGAAGAAGGATTTATTTTTGGCTTCTTTTGGGTGGCTGAAACTACCTACTGTAATACGGATTGCATTATTTGTTCGCAGTAGTTTAGGTTCTGATTTCTCAGAAATGGCTTGTTTTCTTTTCTGGTTTTCTGTAGGATTTGTAAGATGATGTCTGGGGACAAGGATAACATAATTTCTTTGAGTATATAACCTCTGTTCCATCTCTAAGTTTTAACAATAATTAATGAATATGAACACATGGAATAATCCTGTTACAGTAAAGAGCTTTCTAATATTAAGCAACTGTTTAATGAATTGTCTGAAGACATAAGACATTAAGACTGAAGCTGGACAAATTTTAACTAGAATAAAATGCAGCTTATAAAATAATGCAACTTTGAATATCTTTTTTTTTCTTAGTTCTCCAGCTGTTGCAGTCTTTAATTTAAGTTTCATGCATACTTTTCTTAAAAGGTTTCTGGTGAGCCAAACCAAATAATAAAGTGAAGCAGGTTGTCGTAATAACTTTTAAAAGTTTTGTCTAGCCTTAAATGTGAGTAACAGTCTAGTGTGACTAACAGCTAACTGAAAGCTAGAATGACAGAACTCACATTGCAGTTGTAAAGTCTATTAAAAACATGTTTATTTTTTTTCCTAAAAAGTTCAAAATATTTCACGACTTGTAGCTCCAAATAGTATAAGCAGGTGACCTGTTCAGAAGATTGTACATACAGCAAGTAATTTGTACACCAGAAATCAAAATGTGTTTCTGATCTCGTTTCTTGCAGAGTCAGCAGCAGTCCAGGGGTCGTGCTGAGCTCAAGTACAGAAGTCCCTTACACATGAGATCTACTGGCTCTCTAGCTGAGTCTGCCCTGTCACCAGCCGAACAGGTAGAGTGCTTTTGTGCCCGAGCCATGCCACAAGCGTAGCTGGTCCTGGTGCTGTTGTCCTGTGACAGTGACCAGCTTGTTGTCCTGTGACAGTGTGAGGCCAAAGGCACATTGAGGCCTCTTGGTGACTTCTTTGGGGACTGTGTAGGATTAAAAGAAAGCATGGCAGATCTGTCACAAAAGTACTCTAAGGAGAAACTTAGTAGTTCAGGGTTTGATTTTCGACATTCTTGGAGATTGTTAGCAATAGGGAAAGTGTTGGATCATTCTGTCACAGCATTGGTTGTACACTGGAAGTAATCCAAACACATGAGGCATCATTGGTGGGTCCACTTCAGTCAAAGCAGTGTATTGCTTTCTTTTGGGATTTTTCCCCATTTAGATCTATT